TGGGGCGTGCACCAATGTAAATACAGTGAAGAATTCGTCCCTCGCGTGTGTGTGTGTGTGTGTGTGTGTGTGTGTGTGTAATTGTATCAACTCAGAAATAACAAGGTTAGATCATTGAGATAATCTGTGCAGTAAAGCAACGACAATGGAAATTGCACTGAGCATTTTTCAGGTTTTATGAGTAGAATTCTGAAAAACATTTAATTAAGTGTTCAACTCCCATTGAAAGTCATGGGATTTTAAAAACCCTACATGTCTTATAAACCTATATCCAAAGTAAACAGTAAGAAAATCCAAAGTGGAATACTACAGTACTTACACAGACCCATTCTTTAGACCAAAATCAGCTTTATCTTCAGCTACATAGCGGTATTCGCGATAACACTCTTTCAGAAATGTTCGGAAATAGGGATAGATGGCGCACGTGTTGTTGCGGACTTTTAGCTGACGAATCTGGGCCACTCCTAAAAGTAAGTTCTCATAGTAAACATGACTGCTGTTTTTGTGGCTGGTCAATGTCTTGTTGTTGTACCATGTGTCCCAGTACAGACCATCAAGCAGGGGTCCTTCTGCAAACTACATAACATAATGAGATTGGATAAGAGAAGCTGGAAAGGCCACTTTCAGTGTAAGCTTTTTAAGATACCAATCTTCCTTATAGGGCTCTCAGATAAAAGGCAAGAAATTACAAGTTAGGGCAGAAAACCTAGTTGTTCTCCAAAAGCTCAGAACAGTGAAGGGTGATAGGTTATAAGAACGGCCATACTGGGTCAGAACAAAGGTCTGTCTAGCCCAGTATCCTGTCTTTTGACAGTGGCCAGTGCAGGGGCCCCAGAGGGAGTGAACAGAACAGTTAATCATCAAGTGATCCATCCCCTGTTGCCCGTTCCCAGCTTCTGACAATCCTGTTGTTCATGGCCTTTGAAGAGAAAGCAAAGTGCAGACACTGGCATGGTTGGGCATACTGTCTTGCTGGGAATATCACAGTGTAGGTAGGGAACTGTGCCGCCTGGAAAAAAAACCCAGTCAGGAGGGAGAAAGATGCAGGTTTCCGCTCAAGAGAGAATGATGGCTGGGAGCCTAGAGTGGGTGCCCTTGCTGGCCCATGGAGAGAGAAATGGGTGCAGTTGCCCTGAACTGTGACAGTTAATGACCATTTGGTTATTTGGATCAAATCTGACTTTCCAAAGACCAGTTCTGATATGTACTTAAGGGTTTGCTCCTGGCTTACATTGATCAATAGAGATTTTGATCAAATGGATCAGACTTTGTTATTGAAGGCAGGAAAGAAGTTTCGCCCCCCCTCCCTTTCTAAGGGCCACTTGGCTGCTGATAAAAGAATGTTACAGCTTGGGTGAGTGCTAATCAGAACCAATAAAAATGTGATTGATGCAGCTTGGCACTAGAATGCATATTACAATTTGCTTTGTCTTTTGAAAGATGGAGACTTTGCATTAATACATGTGTTGGGGGAGCTCAGAATTCTACGGCTCCAACTGTAGTGATCAAAGGGGGGGAGGGGCATGGGTCCCCCAGATTGCTCTTATAATCAGATTCCACTGCTTTTAAATCTTAACTAGGAAAAAAATTGTCCTAGAATTACAATCTTTGTGTCTTCCAATGTTGCCTGGATACTATAGCAAACTGAGCTGAGTCCCCCATCTACTGGTAAAAATCTGTGTGAGCATCTTGCACAAAGCTTTATACCACAGCTTTGACTCAAAGGTTATGTCTACACTGCAATAAAACACCCATGGCTCGCTCGTGTCAGCTGACTCGGGCTTGCAGGGCTCAGGCTGCAGGCTATGTAATTGCAGTGTAGACGTTTGGGCTCAGAGCCTGGACTCCAGCCTGAGCCCAAACTTCTACACTACAATTTTGCAGCCCAAGCCCTGTGAGCCCGTGTCAGCTGATATGGGCCAGGTGCAGGTGTTTTACTGCATATGTCTACACTGAAGAAAAATCCACAGCAGCAAGTCTCAGAGCCCGGGTCAACTGACTTGGACTTGTGCTATGGGGCTAAAAGTAGCAGTGTAGAAGTTCCTGCTCAGGCCGGACAGCTTTGGTGCTCAGACCCTGCCTCCTCACCAGGTTTCAGAGTCTGGGCTCCAACCTGAGAGGGAACATCTACACCAGGGCCAGCTCTAGGCACCAGCAAATCAAGCTGGTGCTTGGGGCGGCACATTTTTAGGGGCGGCATGGCCACCGCCAGAATGCCGCCCCTAAAAATGTGCCCCGGCCGCCCTAGCTCACCTCTGCTGCTGCTGCCATGGCGCGCGAATCGGCTGTTTCGCGCGCCGCGGTGGCTAGGGGTCTCCCCCTCCCTCCCAGGCTCTCAAACCTGGGAGGGAGGGGGAGATCCTGAGCGGCCGTTTCGCGCGCCGCTGCTCCCCCTCCCTCCCAGGCTTGGGTGCCTAGGAGGGAGTGGGAGAAGTGGCGCCCGCGCCGCGGCCACTCGGAGTCTCCCCCTCCCTCCCAGGCTCTCAAACCTGGGATGGCGGGGAGATTCCGAGTGGCTGCGGCGCGGGCACCGCTTCTCCCCCTCCCTCCCTCCCTCCTAGACTTGAGAGCCTGGGGGGAGGAGGCAGGGCTGGGGATTTGGGGAAGGGGCGGAGTTGAGGCAGGGCCGGGGGTGGGGTAATTAAAGAAGTGGGGGGCGGCCAAAATTGTTTTTGCTTTGGGTGGCAAAAATCCTAGAGCCGGCCCTGATCTACACAGCTAATTTTAGCCCTATGGTGAGAGCCCAAGACAGTTGACGCGAGCTCTGAGATGCGCTGCTTCAGGGATTTATTTATTTTTGCAGTATAGACATACCCTAAGTGGAATTCCAGTGGCAAACTAGTTAATCAAGGGGAAAGTTCCTTTTGACTGAGCTGGTAGGACCTGTCCTGTGCTAACCCACCCCAGGAAAGTCATTTCTTTGCAACTGAAAATCGAGACAACTGTAAAATCAAAGTAATCCCTTTTCTGTTTTCCTCTGATTATCCCAATTCTGAGACCAAGAGCAGTACAGAACAGTGATGAACATCCCCTCCTATACTTAGGTTAGTCTGTCAATGCCTCACTGTGTTTGTTCGGAGACTATCAGAAATGCCTATATTTGTACTCAGATCTTTTACAAACTTAGTGTTGTTCAACCCTTCTCCAGCTGGTGAGACACTACACTGGTTTCTGTACCACCACGCCTCTTCTGGTCTGGATAAGTCTTGTATACAAAATGTTCCACTGTTGCTAACACCTCTGAAGCTGCACAATAACACTAAAAGCTTGCCCTCCTAGTCAGCTCCCAACAAAACAATTCAAATTAGAAGCTTACCTTCCAGAAATCAACCATGCTGCCTATGTTCTTGAAGGAAGTTCTATCTGTCTCAGACACAGAAGTTTCCAGAAAGAGATTTGACATAACTTTGTTCAAGTAATACATGTCTGTGTTCACCATGCCAAATGTCACTAGCGAGAAAGAAAGGGCTTGATTGTAAAATGAGGTCTGAGGATGAAGACAACTGCCAGTAGCACAGTGAGATCCCGATTATGCTGCTTACATCAAACTGGAACAGTAGTAGCCTGGAAACACAATCTAGAAATGGGGGTACTTTTGGTCTGTTAAAAGCAAATTAAAATTATACACTTTCATTTAATATACTTTAAGCAGATAAGCCACCTTGGGTACCTGTAAAAAGAACAGGAGTACTTGTGGCACCTTAGAGACTAACAAATTTATTAGAGCATAAGCTTTTGTGGACTACAGCCCACTTCACTTGGGTACCTGTTTACCTTATCACAGTGACTATACTGCAGCCCTGCATGCATTACAAGGTGCCAAAGGTCATTGTTTAGAAGGTATTTAAATAAAAGGAAATAAGTTTAAGCACCAGAGGGGTGTATAATATTTTCCAATTTTTTAGTGCCTTTCATCTCAATTCATATTACTGTTATGGTCCAGATTCTGATGGTACTTCAGTTAAGCATTACTTGAGTTTTACAATGGGGTACCATCTTCATTAACTGTTATTCTGGAAGAAAACTTTTGTCGGGGAACTTGCAAATGAAACCACACCCTTGGGTGAAAGTCAAAGGGGTGGGAGATTGAGGGCATGTCTACACTACCGCGCTACATCGGTGCAGCTGGCCCACTGTAGTGCGTCTGGTAAAGACATGCTTTGCCAACGGGAGAACGCTCTCCCATGGGCATAATTACCCCACCTTGGTGATAGGCAGAAGCTGTGTCAGTCTCCCGCCGCCATAGTGCGGTATGGACAGCACTTTAAATCAATGTAACTTACGTCGCTCACCGGGATGTGGTTTTCACACCCCTGAGCAATGTAAGTTACATCAACTTAAACAATAGTGGAGACCAGCCCTAGGTGGTGGTAACTCTCAGCCTTCTTATCCCAATGTTATACACTGAAAGAGGCGTAGCTCTCTTTGTAAGCCGAAAAATATTTGAAAACAATGCATTACAATTCATTTAGTTCATTGGTGGACTTACATATACATAGATCTGTAAGGAAAATGATGTAGATTAGCAGTTCCTGAAGGGTAGTTTTAATTTCTAGCTCTCTGCTATAGGTCAGACGAGGTTTCACAATACCTAACCATGTGAAATAAAAAGCAGAATGAAAAAGATAATGCAGGGAAGTAGAGGAGGGGCATACATATTCTCAGAAATAATAAAATTAAAACCAGGTTCCAACTATGCAGGGAAAATCCTCAGGCCTTTTAGCATTCGTAAAGTGAAACCCCTTTTAACCCTGAGGTTTCCCAAATATGTTTTCAAATTCTTATATGCAGTGAAAGAAGGGGCTTTCAAATCAGAGGAATGTGCATGATCAGGGAGTTTCCCTCGCTTTGAGTGTTGGGTGCAGTACTTGGGGCTTTTTCAGGATCTGATTCCTTATTGGCTTGTTTAAGGACATTTTAGTGCCATGACATTGCAGTAGAGAGTTGGGTTCTTGCTAATACAAAGCAGAAAGTCGGTGTGAGAGCTTCTGGGATTGTCCAAAGAATGGGATGGCGGGTAAAGCACTTGCAGGAATGGGAAGGGGGTGGATACTGCTTTGGCTGAATCCCATCCCCTCTTCTTTGTTTATAAGTCATCCCGATCCCTCTAAACTTAGTCAGGGACCTAGCTGGGAGTGCCTACCACATTGTTATTGCTGTACAAACACAATAATCAATAACAGGCTGGCCCCGGGGGGACTAGGCTGGACTGTGCAAGGCCTGGAATAGCCAATGGCATGGGGGAGAGGGAGCCACGGGCGAGGTTGGGTCTGAAGGGCACTGGATGAGCTGAGCAGGGGATGGGTAGGTTGCGCTTTCTAGACTGAGCAGGGCAGAGCGGGGATCACAATGATGGGAGGTGCAGGCACAGACCCCACAGGTTGTGAAGGGACATGGTAACCATCATAGTGATGAGCTGGTTTAGATGGGTGAACAGGAGCCTGGGCTAGTTAGGGGTGCACAGGGCCAGGGCTGGGCTAGGTCAGTGCTGGCGCGGAGGGGAGCTGGGCTAGCATGGGGTATTTGGAGGGGGGCTGGTCTGGCTGGGGATTGAGCTAGCTTGGGGTGCATGAGGGACTGGGCTGGTTTGGTGGAGGGGTTGGGCTAGCTGGGAGTGCACAGGGGCTGGGCTGTTCGGGGGGGGTTGGGCTATTCAGAGGGGCTGTTCGGGGGGGCGTTGGGCTAGCTGGGGGTGCGTGGGGGAGTGGGCTGTACTGGTGGGCTGGGTTGGTGGGGGGCCTGGGCTAGCTTGGGATGCACAGGGGGTTGGGCTGTCTGGGGGGACTGGGTTGGTGTGGGGGAGCTGGGTTAGCTGGGGCTGTTTGGGGGGGTTGGGCTAGCTTGGGGTATATGGAGGGGGTTGGGGTGCAGGGGGGACTGGGCTGTTTGGGGGGACTGGGTTGGTGGGGGAGCTGGGTTAGCTGGGGCTGTTTGGGG